GCTGCACCATCAACCTCATCCCATCCAAGGTCATTGAATGATTGAATAGATTATTGATTAATTGTTTGATTTACAGATGGCAAATGTACTGCAAATAACTCATGAGATGATTACATGTTTCTTATAAAGCAGTGTTATTGTCGTCGTCACAGTCATCGTCGTCGTCGTCATTGTCATCCTCATAATCTGCATTCCAAGGTAATACAGTAATTGACTATTCAAAATTATAGGTAGGTCTATGCATTTGCTTCATGGAATTAAAAACATGAGTTGACCAAAATAAAGGTTAGAGGATGCGAGAAGCATATTTTTGTTGGCCTATACACTTTTTCCGGAGTGTCACCAAAATGACCAGAACATATTTAATAGGCGGGGCTAGATATACGCGCATGTCCCACAGACACGACCTTTACGACCGCACACGCAGCCTTTTCTTGGGGCCATAGCAACAATATCAAATTAGGAGCAGGACTGATCGGAACTAAACCCTAAATTTTGTGGCGAGACTTGAAATTGGTAGTAGGATTCGGGCTATTAACAACACGCGTTTGGTTTACAAACGAAGTTGACGTTCTTTTAAGTCCGAGGTAACAATATTTGAGTATAATTAAATCAAAATACACAAAATTAGCATATGATTTTACATCGAAAACAGTTATTACTACCGTATAATTAGTACGGTAATAATTACAGCCTCCATCTTTCCCGGTTTATGCCCGGGGCCGAAGTTACGGGGCCGGGCATGCACTATCAATGCATTAGTATCAGATTCATCGTTTTTCGAATCAGAATGTGTATAACACAATGGTGATAAATTAGTCTATCTTCGTACAGAAGAGACACAACCTGTTTGACGGATAGCATGCATGCTGTCGGCCTACACTATAATCAAAGTCTAGTTAAACATTGTTGAACGACAACTAGTGGTGCATCTTTTTACACCTATAGACACAGATGTATTTTTTCGTTCACATAATGAGTCTTTACTTTATATACAAAGTTACGCTGCGTTCACATCGGATCCGAACCTATTCGCACCGCGTTTCCGAAGCGTTGAACGCCAGCGTCCATATTCTTACACACGGATTCGATGTTCTGATCGTATTTTCAGGTAAACTTGTCATCAGACGAGTCATACTATACACATGACAAATCGCTTAAACGTCCCTCTGGAAGACGAGACGATTGTTCCTTGACGTCTTCAGCTCTCTTCTTTTCATTCGGAATTACAGTTTAAATGCTAGATTTTACATGGTTAACTAAAAAGTTCAGACACGTGATGGACTTGCCCGCGGTGTATCACTGGATACAATGGTAGTTGACAGCCTGCTCGATTGCACACGTGACATCCTCAAAGTTCCTTCCACACTTATTTTCTTATCGTAATCATCACACCTTGAACAACGGCAGACGATTTTAAATAGATCTGCGCGTAAATTTCGATTGACTACAAGCATGATGATTGGGTGCGCGCAAGCGTTTATAATGATAAAGAACTGTCCGATGAATTTCAGATCTCGCTCAAGAGTGTGTTTGAATGGGTAGTTCTCATTAAAACTGAACTGATATAGGATGTTCGATATATGATGTAAAGAATAACAAACTCCAAACATAACAGAAATAATAATTACAGAAATACCTAGGCGGTTTCGCTTCTTCATACGTGATGCTACACGGGTCGAACTTATCGTTGCTGCGTTCTGTCCACTCTTGAACAAAAAGATCGCCATTCTCGTATAGCAAAATGCGATGATAGTTAACGGAATATTGTAGAGAAATACAGTACGTAAAATCTCGTAAACCTTGGCGAACGTTTCAAAATGATAGAGATAGTAGCAAAAATATGGTACACCATCTAATTCAACAATGTCGGCTTTTACAAGAATCGGAATACTGGCTGCAATCGAACCTAAAAAAATCCCAAGTATTACCAAATATCGCCTCCGTATTATGCATGTGTTGGCCCTGGTGTGATTCGTCACCATGATGTATCGATCCAGACTTAACGCTACGAGTATGTACACTGCGAAACTTTCATTCATAACTTGTAAAGCGTGGTTGAATTTACATTCAAAGAGAGATGGAACAGCGTACTCCATACGTCGAAGCTGGTAGATGACAAAGTTGAACAAGATATACATGACGTTACACATTCCTAGCCAAACGACGAAGAAGTATGCCTTGGTAACATTTGAGTTTCCCTTTGCTGATATCCGGACCGAAAGGAGGACTAAGACTAGATTGAGAGTTATACTGATAAAGGCAAGCACTAGTTTAATACAACATGCGGTTGAACACTCGTCTGGAGTCGGCGGCGGATAGGAATAGCCTTCGTATTCACTGTAGTTATCCATCGTTCAAAGTGTACACCCTGTAACAATAAATAATAATAATATATTAACTGTTTATGAAATTCTCTTTGCAGTGGTTCAAAGCATAACGATGATAATAATCATGATTATAATAAGGATGAGAAATATCAGAAGGCAAACGCCGACGGTAACTAAACAAATGATTAAAAGAACATTGATATAGATGAGTGGATTATGGCGAATTGATGTTAAAAGTAACGAGAATGATACTGATATAGAAAACGAACTGAGGATGAATTTTATTAGCAAAAAATGTATGTGGATAAAACGCGTAATGCTGAATAATCATGAAAATATAAAAGCAAGTAGTTTTGCAGTGATGAGGTAAAATTGACTACAAAGATATTTGACCGGGGGTTTATGTTTGCAATATAATTTTACTTACTAAGCGATACATTGATTTTTTCCCCGTAAAAATGCAATCGGAAGGCTGCTCGATTCGACTAATCTGCGTCGCCGAAAGATGTTGGCATAGTGTGTAGCAATTTTATGGAAATCAGGCCTTATGTGACTTATTGTTGAGAAATGCTACTGCTATTGTACTTTTCAAAACTCAACTACACCATTGAGTTTCTCACTCAAATAATATTTACTAATCGTTCTCTGCATACATTTGGCCAAAATGCGTCCTAGAATCCACGCGACGAGAACTTAACGTTTTCGCATGCGCAAATGATTGTTAGTGACGTCATTACGTTCTACCGTCGTCGTGCATCGAAAGCTCCCTACTTGCAAACAGATCGGCGGAATCTATATTTAAAAAAGATACATTTTTTCACAAATTTGTATAAGTATTTTTTATTATTTAAGAAGAAATTTTACAATAAAAAATGAGCACATATTTTGTGATAATTTAAAATAGGCTTAGCAGTAAGTTTTCATACCTTATTATCGCTTGAATGTCAACGGCAAGGTAGAATTTACGAGTTATGAGGTTATAATAATAAATCACAATTTGCCTTAATTGGAACAGGTTTTTCATAGTGGCCACTGACTGTTACTCTATGGTCATTTACGTTTTTTTTTTACGTTGATAACCAATTATCAGTTGGCGCAACATATTGAATATATATTTTTTAAGTTATCACGCATCTGTGATGGGGTCATGGATGAAAGGCCATCGATCCACACGGTGTGAAAGCAACAAACCAAACAGAATGTCATCAAAATTGTATTATTTTTATATTGATACTCAATTGAAAATATATCATTTTCCATTTTATGTTTAAGTGACCACATCCCCACCCCCACATCTAACGATCTAAATCCCTTTATACACATCGTATAGATCTAAAACAGTATTAGCTGTATATACTTCAAAAGTATCCATAAAGTAGACTTAGCAGTAGCATCTGCGGCAGCAGTACAGTCTAGTCACTGCAGCGGCAACAACTGCAGCAGTTGTAGTAGCAGCAGCGGCAGCAGCATCAGTATTAGTATTATTAATAATAATTAAAAAACGAGCACATTAAAAAACCCACGATTGGTGACCGAGACCCAAAAACGGCCCCGGTCTCAGAAAGCCACATGACCCCCGGCCCCAGCGTTACGCCACTGGGTGGTGGTGGTAGTAGTGGCTTAGTAGTGGTAGTGGTTCTGCAGTGATAGGCCTAGGTATAATTGGTAATAGTGGAGGTGGCAATAATAGATCGGTGCTTATAATAGCGTCATATAAGCATGCTGTATCTCAAGTTAACGAACTGGGTGTTGAATCCAGTTAGTTATCGTCGGTATATTTCAGTTCCCAAGCCACTCACGCATTTTCTTAATTAAAATAAAGCATTTTATTTATGAATCGCGTCAATGCATGAATTAAATTTTGAATCATTATTTATTTAGTACAATTCATATTATTTAATAGATGATTAATAATTTATCATCAATAACACAATGTTAAGGCTAAATTATTTGTTCATTTGCTTGACATTTGACATAGGCATGCGCAATTTGAATTAAAAGACGCATTAGTAATGGGCAATTTATATCAGCGGTCTGGGTAAGGAAATTCAGCAAGCACAAGAGCCCGGAGCCCAGAGGTAGGGGCCCGCTTCATCATAGGCCTACAAATGAAATAACATATATTTTTTACGTTTTATGCCTGTTTCATCACGCACAGGGAAAAATAATCGCTCAAACTGCTCCTCATAACTATCTGGACCGTCACCAACCATTTCACTGTGTACTAATGATAAAAAAAATCTACTATGTGCAATACATAGGCCTAATAATTAGTATAGAGCAGTTACTCTATGCATACCGCCACCTTGTGCCTGGATAACGAACAATACACAGGCATTATCTTCTTTTATGCTCGAGGGTAAAAAAAATCGAATTTCCGTGAACATGACGTTGTCTTTTGACCTTTTCTTCCCAAAAGATAATCATCGCTTTCTTAGTTTATTATATACCCTTCCACTAAATTTATGATGATCCATTTCATTTTTTTTTTCGTAATCTCGCCAACAGACAGACAGACAGACAGCCCGACAGGGGTGAACACAACCTCCTTAAATCATTTAAAAGTATGATTAAGAAAAACTCTCCATTGTACGATGTAAAAAGCACTTCTTTAGATGAATTTTTTTTTTAACTTAAATTACTGAGAATTTTCCTGGAAAACAATCACGGCTCGTGAAAGGTTTACAACCCTAGGCCCTCGGCATTCAATTAGGTATACGATCTTCGGTTGCCGATTCATAAAGGGTCCGGCGATGAGTCTTGTAGGCCTACTGGTGCCCGTCAACATTCAGCTAAGCCACTGATCAAGCATAAGATTCATCAATAATGGTCGATTAATAATAAATGACAATCGTTCATAATCAATAACACAGTCATGGTTTCATGTTTGTTTTGAGTAGAAATTATAGTATACGACAGAAGAAGCACTTTTGAAAATTAGGCTGGATAAAGAAAGCCTCTGTTTTATGTTCTTTAGAAGCATACGTCAAAGTATATTACATGCTAATTATGTTGCAGATAATGTAGGCCTATACTGAAATGTTATTTTCCTACTTCTGCAAATCACAGATAAATTTAGTAGTAGTATAATATTAGTAGCATATATAAGAATATAATTTGGGCATATTAGATATTTCAACTTAACAATACCGTACTACAAAGAACATAATGAGTGTGAGATACGGTACTGTAGCAAATGACGGAAGTTCTTTCAGAATGAAAAACCCCAATCTCAAACCAGAAACTCTATCTGAATTCCGTTTTGGCGCAAAGGTTGAGGTCGGTCTGTGCAACGCTTGTGTCACTGGGCATTGGGCAAGAAAATATATCCATGTTTGTCTCTCTATGTCTCTAGTCTCTACACCCAGGATTATAAGCTAATACCTAGCGCTGATTCTATCTGCTTATGTGATGGTGTTCCCCATGGAGGTGTTTGATCCAGTCACCGGGGGGGGGGGGGTGCGTAATAGCGTCTGTGTTCTCTGTCATCATAATTTACTGATAGTGAACAAAATCAATCAATCAATGTAAAGTGCTTAAAGGCCTTGGCAAAAGCATTATATAAATGGAGCATATTTGGCTATATCAATATTAAACTACGCACCAATTCATTGGCATTCTCAAAAAAACAAAAAAAACAGCACGAATAGGCTGAAATTCAAATAATGATAAAGCGTTCTTTACAACTTTTTTTAATGAATTAAACCAGCATTGGTAAACAATATCAGTTGGTGATGTGTTCCATATGGACGGCTAATATTATGATATAAAATATTAACGTGTTTGGAGCCTAACCTTGGGCAAGCCAAGAACACTGATGAATTTGACTCGTGGAGCGATTATGAAGTGATATACTGTATGTGACCTTAAAAACCAATGTTTAATGATTATATATTTTAATATCGAAAAACACTCAACCGTCGTATTGAACTTTCTTGCGATACGTCGATTTTCCACGATTTGACAGGAAACCGCGATTCAGTGACTTATGCCAGAGTGATTATGCTTGCGATGCCTTGTGTTACGTCTCTTACGAAAGTTGACTTGGAGTCAACTTTCGTAAGAGACGTAGCATGATGGACCAGAAAACGTAAGAAGCTGTCTCTTATACACATCTAGATGTGTATAAGAGAGAGTCCTCAAAGAGAGAAGTACGCGTAGTCGGGCGTCGCTCAAAAAATTGTTTTATAAAGTTTTCCAGCGGGCAAAAAAATATGACAATTTGGAGGTTTCAAATGCTTATTCAATCGATCTTAAAGTCTACTAATATATAGAAAATACATGTACATTTTGTCTCCTCGACGAATGTAATTTTCTCTCCCGACGGGTGGTGGGGGAAGCTCTCCCCGACGGGGGCCCTGCCCACACACCGGCCTCCTCGGGCTAAAACGTTACAATGTATGCTAGGGGTTCTGTGCTGAGCATTCGTAGTGACAGAATGACAATCTGTTAAGCTCTGTTTACAGTACCAAATTTTATGGAACAAAAACTGTAATATGCCCATATTTGGGTGTAATATGACATCATCGTGGCCATATATGTGCACATTATACAAATTTGTCACATCAAATTTGATAGTGTGAACTGAAATTTAAACAATAGTGATTTTTTTTTCGATGAGGTTGGTGGGTGTTGCCCCAAGCAAGAATACCACAGTTTGTGCAAATGACCTGTGTAAGAATAGTTTACCTGTTAGGTGAAAAGTATAAAAATCATGTAAGAATATGATAAATTTAAATTATTCTATACGTGCCGACTTACGATGATGAAACTAACCTATAAAATATTGACGATGTTTTAGTTTCAGATTCAGTATCGAAAATTTCCAAAACACATGTTGTGGACATGGGCCGTGGACATTGAAATCAGAACTCCTTCCAAAAAACCTCTGCTAAGAGGGGTACTAAATATCAGGTGGCCCGAAAGAAGGTCCAACGAAGAGGGTTACCATAACACATGCAACACCATTAAGTCTTACCATCAAACAGAGGCGCTTGAGATGGCTTGGTTATTTGCTGCGATTGCCAACCGAAGTTCTTGTCCAGAAAGACAAGAACTTCGGGCTTCGGCGAGGGCGAAAGCAGATTGATGAATTTCAAAAACATAATTGAATTGTCAAAACCGTCACTAAAATTGTCGTGTTCGATATTCGAAGTCAAATAAAAAATGCCAAAGGTTAGTTTAAATTGAAATCATAGAAAAGCACACAGATGAGAGGTGGCCATTAACCCAATGTGAGTGTTTGTCTGCAGTTACAGAAGATATTATTGCCTACTGTCGTGATAAATTTCGCAGAAATGTAATACGTGAGGTTGGTGCGATATAATGGAAATGATGCGTGAAAAAATCCACTAAACAAGTAAATGTGACCATCTAAATTACACATGTAGTGAACGTGCAGGACGTTTGTTTTAATCAAATTGCTTCTTCTTTCACATTTGTTTAATATTGGTAAATTTCTCAAATTACTTCCTTGTTTTGTGATGTATATATTCGTAGTGTGTCCAGCAGATAATAAGCCTATACTATTAGTGCTTTTTTTCTTTTTTATATTGGTACATTGTTTTTATCGTAAAATGAATTTAAAGCTGTCGACGTTATCATTATCCTTATCATCAAGATCACCTGCACCACCACCATCACCTTCACACCATCATCGTCATCGTCATCACCATCAAGCGCCATCATTTTTTTAATAATGTATAAACATCTTTACCCAGGATGACACAGTCATTTTCTGAAATGTTTTTCATTGTGGTCCTGGACCATCATCTTTATCATTATTACATAAT